TGTGATACAATATCAAATTTACGGTTTTCCATAATAGAATCAACTAAGAAAATAGTTATATCAATGCTAATACTTGCTTATTCGAACAATTATTTTATTCAATTGAAACATATTACTTCTTAAGATTCAATAAGACACTACTTAAATCAACCAAGATTCTTGATTCTGCCTACCTACTGCAATTTTAAGCCTACAAAGTATGTTTGTAGATTCAATTTTTCCCATAGTCGTATCAACTAAGAAAATAGTTATATCAACGGTATAACATACTTGGAAGAACAATTAAATTGTTTAATTCAAATACGATACTCATTTAGATTCAATAAGAAACTACTTCAATCGATCAAGACGTTTAGTTGCACCTACTTAATATTGTATTGAACCAATTAAACTGCTTGTTTACAATAACATATATCATATTCAGTGCAAAAATGTGTATTAGCTCTTTCAATCAAGGTCTTGGTCAAGTTTGTCAAATTAGTTTATTATATCTACTAAGAGTGATTGTTGATATGTTCATATCAGATAATTGATCTAATAAAGACACTTCTTCCAATACACAATTAAGCTATAACTACTCTTGTCTGACGCTACACATTGTATCGTTACGGTGTGAACCTAAATAAATAAGTTCACAACGTAACAACACAATGTGTCGCAGACAGACAAGAGTAGTTATAGCTTAATTGTGTATTGGAAGAAGTGTTTTTATTAGATCAATTATCTGATATGATAATATATGATTTTATGAAAATAATAAACATTTTATTTTAAAATATAAATTTTATTATATCTCTTTTACATTGTTTACTTACTTTCTAAATTATTTAATATTTTAGATACCATAATGCACATCGCTAAGAACATTAATGTTACATGGGATAGGAGACACTAAAGTCTTGTAACGTTTAATTACATTTTGATTAGTTTCAGTTTCGGCAACTTGATAAGTAAAAAAATGCTCGTCAAATCTCAGTGTCTGCATTAATGTTCCTACAAAAATTAAATCATTTGAGTCATAGGTACAAGTAAACATTGTTAACAAGTAAATACGAGTACGTTCGCAGAATATCAAAACTATGTGACAATTTGAAGTGCGACTTAAGAAATTTTGTATTTGGTAATTGCAAATGACATATATAAAACAAGTGAACATAATGGAAATTATAACTTTTTTAACGTATATTCAATAGTAATATAACCTGATGTTATATTCAATAGTAAAAATGATTTGATCCTAAATAAATTCTCACCAACAAATAATATACGAGTATATGGTTGTGGGCATATTCCTTTTGTTTTCAAATAGTTTAGCCTGGAATCTATTGTTTCATGTATTGCAACATCTGATAGCCATCTCTAGCTTCAGCTTCGGATGGCTTCCAAGAGCATCCAGACTCTGATTTGCCTTTTTTATATTTTAACTTAATGTTAGATGTATTCAGCGGATCAACGATTGCTAGAAAGACTGCTAGATTTTGTTGTTCTACATTAGAAACTGAAACAGATAAGAATTATTCATTAGAATAAGTAGGCAGGGCAATGGCTATGGGCAGGATATAGCAATATATATATATATAATATATATAACTTCACGTTCCATATATATTTTAAAGTAAAATAACATTGAGATTAATTACTTTTGTTGTTATTATCATTATTTGTACAAGTATTTTCTAAATACAATGACTAAAAATAATGTTTGTTTGCTTTTATCATTTGGGTAAGTACTTTAGTCGTACTGTATTCAGATGCAATCAAATTTATATTAAAATAAAAACGCAGTCATAATGATTATGAATTTAAACGGAGATTAATTACCTACTTACACGGACAAACAAACAAAAATTTGTCATCATCCTTATTGTAAGGATACAAAGATATGCGAATGAACGCTAATGAAATAATAATAATGTTAAGTAGTAATCAAAAAAAGTTAATAGAAGAAGACGTAAGATAAAATAAAAAGGTAAAATACATAAATAAACGATATTTAGATAGAGATAAAAGCTTACCGAGATAGATGAGATGTTGTTACTACTCTCGCAACCATTTTGAACTTTCCATGTACTTCAGCATCTGGTGAACAAAACCCTCGGTCCTGATTGAGGAATAAGATCCCTTAGATCTTTTATGAGGGCAGATAATGCCTGAACATAACCTGCTGCTCTAAAACAGAATAAATAATTTATTATTAGGTATACGCCATATCAATACTAATAATAACGCTAAAGAGTTTGTTTGTATGTTTGGTTAAACGCGCTTATCTCAGGATTCGAATTTAAAAATTATATTTGTGTCGAATAGTCCATTTATTAAGGAAGGCTATATAACATCACGCTTAGACTAATAGGAAGGGATCAACAATGAAAAGCCGCTGGCGAAAAGCTAGTATAAGTATATAAACTAATCAACACACAGCTGAAACTAATGCATACTCACAAACTTGAAAATTGGTAAAGAGGTTCCTTTCATGATGTAAATGAGTACTAAAAAAGGATTTTTAGAAATAGGGGTGTGAAGTTTATATGGCCCATGCGGATGCGGGCGAAGCCGCTGGCGGAAAACTAGTCAAATATAAAGATTTATACTTATTAATAAACCTGGAACTTACCTTCAAATACTGGAATAAGTTGTGAGAGTTCCCACGCTTGTAACAATTTTTTCACATCTCCGTTCATGCTATTATATCCACTAACATTGATATGTACTTCCAACGCACTATTTTGTTATTTTTCATCTTTGTGGTGAATAAAAATTTAAATGGGAGGTAAATACCAATTGATACCTAATTAAATAAAACAAAAGTAATTGCGAGCAGTTGAACACGCTGCACCACAATTTCAAATGAATAAATGACAGAGATGGCACGAGACGGACAACGTCGGTTTAGCAGTGTTGTAATCATGTTCGTTATTAATTCAATGCAGTCATTGTTGCAATAATTAAACAAATTAATTGCTACAACTATTGATGTATGTTAATAGAAAAAAATGAAATAATAGAATTTACTATTATCTTGTTTAATTCAGCTATAGATCTAATTTAATGTAACGTTTCCAGTGATCGTTATAACATTGCGCATTGTCAATGCAACATATGATCTTCGTATGTCTAAGTAAACTCTCAATTGATTCAACAATGTTTCTTAGTTGATTTAGCTTTAAAAATAGTTAATTTTATATTTATCTTAATTGAAGGGAAGATCAAAATTGTTCATTTTAACATATCTTATAATTATTTCGACTTTGTGCTTTGTTAATCATACAAGCAGCAATTGTTGATACAAATATGACCTCAGCTAAAACAGATAAAAAGAAGAGAGTCGATTTAACTACGTAAATTTTATTAAATTAAAAAATGTCTTATTTATCTTGATTTAGGACTTTTTTGAGTTAACAATTTACCTTTCAAACAAGTAATGGTTTTTCTAACAACTAATGTCGTTTCGTTAAGGTAAAAATATGCAATGTTAAAGTAACCGATGTAATTATTAATTCAACATTTTTTTGGCCAACTAAGAGAAAATGCCACTTAGTTGGCTATCATTTTTTTCAGTGTATGCGAAATGTGTTTATTCGATTCGTTTTAGTCACGTAAAATCATTGTTTTTGAAAACATTAAATACGATAAGGCGTAAACAAGGACATTTAAATAATAATTGTAATAAAAAGAGCAATCGATTTCTTTTCAAACAGATAAAAATATAGCTTATAGTTTAAGTAAAGTGTCTTATATTTTAAGTAAAGTGGTGGAGTTGAAGTAGGAGTAAGACGCTGATTGTGACGTCACAAATTAGTACCTATATTATTGTCTTTCTCTAGAACACATTTTATATGTTGAAAATAATAAAAATATAATTTTTTGTACTCACCTTCTCCAACAGCGATCACACGAGGATGCTTAGACGCCAACATTGGTGCAAACGCTACTACTTCGGGATCCAAACTTTCGACTAGTAAATAGTAGTCTGTGACCGCTACATCTCTTAGTGCAGTGCGGCTACCGTCCGAAAATTCTATATCGATGTCCAGAAGGCCCTCCTGGAAATTAAAATTCCAGTACAGGAGGTTAAAATTAATATGACGTATGGTGAATCTTTGTTTACAAAGAGCATATGCACCGATTATGGTGAAGACTGAACGTAGTGAGTCTTGCTTTTATTGCTATAAGGATTAAATAAAATGCACTACTTGTCCATCTCACTCATACTGAGTGGATATTGGTGGTTCGCCCGATATCCTGATATTTGAATCATTCTGATACGTTTAGTAAGCGAAAATAAATACATATCATTTTATTTATATATTTTAATATTGCTTAAATTAATTATGAGACAACAAATATTTTACATTTCTTGTCACGTTAACAGAAACAGCGTGTAACGTCACGCCCTTCTTACTCATATCAGAACTTTGAAAATTAAACCTTACTCATACACAGAACGATATTAGTTTAAAGGGACGTGACGTCATTTTTCATTATGAATATTTTTTAGTAAAGCAAAGTAAATGTAAAATTGATACAATATCATAAGTTGGCATTTTCGCGAAAATTGTAAAAATTAAATTTATTTTCAGATTTCAACTTAATATATTAATGTCAATTTTTATATATACATTTATTTTTTAGATATATTTCATGTATCTCTATAAAATAAAAATATAAAAAGTATAAAATAATGGTCAATGTTTCCAGCGCTTTTATAAAGCCTTCTATGCAGGTTCTATAATTTGTTTTGTTATCAGCGGCATACGACTCTGTCGTTTGGTCATCGTTATTATAATATAGCTACCGTTAAAAAATAAATTTCTTGTTTCAAACTTTTAGGGCCTGATTTAGCTGTAGTGGGGTTTCAGTTTTGAATTCTTTTTTTATTATATTACTATCATAGTTGGGTTAATTCAACTATGATATTTTATTATGCATTTATAATGTCATTTAACTATTTATTATTTATGCTATTGGCTTTCATTTAAGATTTAAAGAGGAGATTTTTATTAAATCTCTTTTCTCCTTATATAAATCTATAGCCAACTCTTTTGAACAATTAATCATATTATATTTACGAGAGCAGTATTTTTGTGTTATTAAAACAGCCTCGAATTCGATGTCAAGGATAGCGTCACCGAATTATAAAGATTCAAACAAATAAACCTTAATTTATAAGGTAATAAATGTTATATTTCATTAAAGCTATGCTATACCTATGGTACCAAGTTTCTACATTTTACCTGGTACTGTGCAGTGAGACGTCTAGTGACAGTAGTTTCTGATACGTATCCGTCTGTGATGGCGGAATCCGGTGATATGTTCAGCTGAAGACCAGATATGACTCGTACTAGGAGACGAGATATCGACACTTTGTCGTTCACCACACGAACTTCACGCAGACCAATGACACGACCTTTTATAAGAATTAAAATGTATTTTAATAGAATTGTTTCAATAAAAAAAAAGCTTTAAAAAATTCTATTTGGCGTCATCAGAAATGTCATCAAAAACATTATTAGAATAAAGACAAGGCTGTTTGTTAATTATATTTATCACGAACGTAATTATTCTTTCTCGTTATATTAACTTTTTGTATTGCTCATGGATGTACACATAGTATATACGACCGCAATCGCTAGTCCTTTATACCTTCCAATCTGCATTGGACCAGTGTGGAGGGTGGCGGCTCATCCTCTTTAACAATGCATAAGGAAGGTCTGAACCCCTGCAGTGGAGACGTAAAATAGCTGGTGATGTACAAACAACAGCACATCACGTTACCACAAAACGATTAATTGCAATCGATTTTTAATTCTACAAGAATGTATAAAAATTCGAAAAATTCATCAGCTTTGTGTAATCTTACGTCGTTAAATGAGCATATTATTAAAAAAAAGTGATTTGTAATTTTCGGGCAATCAGACATTAATATCTTATTATTCTCCGTAGCAGAGTGGCTCACACACCATTTTTAATTTGTGCCACCTCGGAGTTCTGTATTCCATTGCTGGTCTGGTCAATGTAAAAAGGAACTTCTCTATAATATCTTTGGTGTGGTCAACAAAGGTACCAACCTTCGTTGATCCAGAAACTCTATAGTGCGAGGGCTTTAGTTATCTACTATTACCTACGAATCAGAGGAATGTATAATGTAACGTTGTAATATTTATTACTCACCTGTGATTGGCGAGAGCACTTGGACTTCAGTACGGCCGGTACTCCGCCCCTGGAGAACGCGGCCCCTGAGGGAAGCGATACGAGGATCGGATACGCGCATCAGAGTCAACACCAGCTCCGTCACCTTAAGCCAGGTGCGACGCGACACGAAGTATGACACGCGACCTGAATCGTGGTCTTTGGCCAAGAATCGGGCGTAAACCTACGAAAAATGATATTAAATAAAATTAAAAAGAAAAAAACAAACAAACGAATCGAATAAAAATGAAACTTTACCTCGACGTTGCTTTGCTGGTACCGGAGACGACATGATCTCTGTTCAGACAAAGAGTTTGTACCATCTGGTCTAGCGCCACCCCAACCACGGGCTGACAGTGATCGTTTCATTCTCTCCTTTGCGCTAGTGTCATCCGATACTTTCCAACCTAGAGAAATAAAATGTTAATAATATGAGAGATCGAAAATAAACAGAATGGCATCTAGCGAAGGGTGCGACCGCCTAACTCACTCACTGGCCATCGGATACGACATCTTAGCGATATTTCGTATCATTTTACTACTTTGAGATGCACGTTAATTATGACGAACGAATGATGATTATCCATTTGCCAAAAATGTGTTATCAACATAATTATTTCGTCTTAACGTCGCTAAAATATCGTATCCTAGCCATGACTGGAGAGTTAGGTAGTCGCACCCCTAGATTAAACTTTTCAACATGTCCAATCCAGCGTGTTTTTAAAACTAGCTGACTCTATTAAGGCGCTCTTGTACCTTCTTACAGACGCGCTCGCTTGATTTCATACATTTTCAATTACAGAAAAAAACAAATGCAGTTGTATAAAATACCTTTTTTGTTTAAATACTTTAGATTATATCAAAAACTATTTTTTGTATATATTATTATATTGTAATGTGTATATTAGTCGTATAATCGATAAAAAAAAAAGATTTAGATCTTAGCGACATTTTTCTATCGAGCCAATTACTGAAATTTATGTTTCTGCTTTTAGTTTAATTTCTATAAAATGATTTTCATTTGGCAAAATTAGCATAGACTTCGAATAAAATTTGTTTAAAAAAGTGGTAATTTCGTAAAACCTCGCCTTAAACATTGATCTCAATCGCCTGTTCTGTAAAGTAATTTGACTTGGTAAAAAGGTAATAAAAGCAATATACAAGGTGATAATGATGTCCAAAAACGTTTTGAATTCTTTAGATCTGAGGTACATACAAGGATATTTGATATTGTTTAAAATTTGACAGGACCTTATTGCTACAAAAAATAATACAATCTGAATTTTCAAAATGTAGGCATAAATGACTGAAAATCACAAGAAATTTCCGAGACTCCCAGATTTTTCAAGTCAACCTTTCGTTTGCGTTTCGCCTTTTGCGAGCAAAAATATAATAGATATTCATTTGTTTTAAATGAAGCATCACTTACCTTTGATTTGTGATAAACGATTGTCATCGACATCAATTTCCAAGGGATATTCTGGCATCCACACTGTGAACCGCGCCAGGCCCGTATAGGTACCGTACTTGACGATCACAGAGGCGTTAGATGAGCCACGAATCTCTGAACCATCCACGTACACTGAACTGCATGATGATGACACCTGAAGGTTGTTTAAAAGTTCTTAAATATAACATGGAGAAAATATTATTACAACTCAACTATTAGTGAAACTGTAAGCTAACAATATAATTTTAAAATCTATTGCAAATCCTTTCAAAGGTATGAAATTATGTAAAAACTTTTAAAGTAGCATTCGCATTTGGAATGAATGATGATGTGAATTAACAAGAAACATAACTTAGTTAAACTCGCCAAAACTCGACACTTCTTTCAAGCATTTATCGTTTTACTTAGACAGTTCTAATTTACTTCAAATTAACTACATTTTAATACAATATTTTTCAAAAAGGTCGGGTTTGTAATCACTATCCACAGATTCGTTATCACATGTCAAATGTCTTTCAAAAAGGGATTGCGATAGATTTTAAAATTAGACAATTAAGTCCTTGTACTAAAAAAGTATTAAAAAATCTCAAAAGTGCACCACAACATTTTGCCGATACTAAAGTTAAGGCACATTTTGAGAAACTCTGATTTAGATCATAACATAACAACTTTAAACTAGAAGCGACATTTTTATAACTTCCAAACGAATTTTAAAAATGTATCATGCAGTGCCCGCACGAAACTAATCTGTGCCAATAAAACAAAATCCAATATATTTTCGTAGTGTTCGATAGAGCAGACAATCTAGGTGGAATAAATTTGAAAGCTCAATAGAATATACTGCCGTCACGAAATAAATAAATAAGTATTGCACATTTTTTTATTAAAATAGTGACTTTTATTTCTCTAGATGACAACTTTAGGTATAGGAACATGTTTATACGATTTTTATATGTTGTTCTATTATCTCTTGTTTTGCTACGATCACAGAATCGAAATAAAAATAAGTATAATTTAATTTAAATTAATTATGATTCAGTACTTCAGTATGATTCAGTATACAAAAGATTTTATTTATATTTTAATAACAAAATTATAATGGAGTAATTAAGAAATTATAAAAATGCCTTAAAGGTATTTTATCAATTTATAATAATTATTTTAGGCCATGATATTGCTTACCTTTAGCACGCTTTCGTCTTCCGAATGGCAAGAGCTTTGAAGAGTGACGTCAGCTACTTGACCCGCCTGTGAGACTATCAGTACTTTCATCGCTTGCGACACTTGCCTGCCAGTCAGGACAGCAGTATTCAAAACTTCCCAATTCTAAAAAAAAAACGATAATATGTATTACCACGGTATCACTTATAAAAACGAGGACTAAAGTTAATATTTGGTTTAAAAATTGACAATCACAGAAGAGAGTGTCCTATTGAGACATGTTGCCTTATTTTGCTCGGATAATGGTTTAAATCGTGGTACTAAAAGTAATGGTACTAAATTTAGTCCTCTGATCCGACTGTCCCTTGATTATTGAGTGACAACATGTTGAGAAATTTTGAGAATAACATTTCCATTATTATATAATTCCATTAAACATAATTTTTATTTTTATTTTATTAGAATACCTATTCTCATGTTTCCTGGAAACAAGTCTTAAAAAGTTGTCTCGGAACGCTACAATGAAACATGCATGTTCATCTTAAACACAGATTATTTTATCTGATAAAAATACTGTAAATGGCACACTGATTACTTAATTTCGGAAAGCTAGAAGAAATATAAGGCGACCTCATTACTAAACTGCAATACTTTCCGGCCAATATAAGCACAGAAATAAATATATTTCTGTGAATATAAGTATGTTTTCACACATTTATTGACGTAAGCTATAAACTCAGAAAAATCAATATACCAATGGCATGAACGGAAAACCTATAGTAAATTATAATATAATTCCGTAAATTATAAGATACAAGCTTATAGTGCGCCTAATTTATAATGTGTACCTATCACATTATAAATTAGCCACAGTATAAGCTTGTATGTAAAAAACTGTCTGTAATATCTACAAAACATTTTTATATCATAATCTGGAACTATTTCAATCAATAAATTAGAAACCATTTCGTTATTAGGGCTCTATTTTATGGAACAGTGGTTAGCGCATTCAGTGTGCGATGAAGTTAAGCATCTTTTGCAAAGGACCGGTAATAGGATTGGTGACCAAAAACGTAAAAAGTCGTGCTCTTCCATGCTTCGCAAGGCACGTTAAGCCCTTTCGCCCGGCAGCATCTATGATCGTTAACACACACCAATCCGCATTGGGCCTGCGAGATGGATCGTGATCCGTCCTCTCTATTTGATTCCATCCATAGAGAATGCCTGTGCTTCAGCAATGGGACCAATTAATAGTCGGGGATTATGTTAGTTTAATTATGACATGAGTATTTTTATACATCTATACATACGAGTATAATATCACTTGTGTGTTCAATCCTAATTAGATTTATACTGCAGCCAACTCGTTAAATGGATGAACTGCAATTTGCAATATCACTGTAACGCTGGCATACCCAAATTCATTTCACGATTATTATAATTAAGTTATGTTGGACACTAAATCCCAAAACTAAACAAACAGAATTAAAAAGATACTAATTCAGAATAAAGTAAAATTTAAATAATTCTAAGGACATACGTAGACTTTGTTTTCTTTAGCGTTTTTTTTTTTGCTTTGATTGCTTTATTATTAACAGAATAGTATTATATCTAAATAATCTATATTTGGAATATCGTGAATACCTAATTGTTATGTGGTTTATCCGTCTATTAACTTAAGTATTATTAAAATATTAACTAGCTCTTTTTTCGCGACTTTCAATGAATGAATGAACACTTTATTCTACTTGAAAAGAAAAATCAACATAACATAACATCCAATCAGTGGCCTTATCGCTAAAACCAATTTATTACCACTGGGTACTGAGTGATCTCGAAAGCACTTGCTTATTTTTGTCACGAGCTCTCCGTCGTGTCTTTATTTATTGGTCATGTCATAGCTCACAGAAGTTATCGTTGCTCGTGTTCGTTCACATTTTCTTTCGTAATTAACAAGAATTCTCGTAGTAGTGTTAATTTGAAGTCATAAACACGTTATAAAACACATAGGTACGTTTCATAACCTCTAATATATATACCAGTTATTAATTTATCGAGACCGCACTGTACATAATAGTCCTGTGCAATAATACTGCCGTCCTTGACTCAGTCCTTTCAAGGGTTAATGCGCTCAAGATAAACTTATTACTTTGCCTTACAATATTAACTACTATTATATTACATTTTACACAAATAATGCTACCTTCCTTAATTTTAGCTCGAGTACAAACAAATACTGAGACTGTGAAGCATATGCTTTGAAGTCTAATTATTTTTTAAATTATCAAGAAATCTTATGTTTTCTTTGCAGTTACTTGAATATGGGCTTTATACTTGCATGAGATTGGATTCAGGTGTTTGAAGGTTTTTATATCATGATATAAATCCAGTGAAAACACACTGAATAATTGAAATGTCACAGATCCAAATATAGCGCGGGACGTTTTTTTTATGCTAGGGAAGGATTAACCTTATTGGTTTTTTATTGTTTATCCTGATGGCGAGCATCGAAACTAATCTAAAATGCATATATATACAGTGTAATGGATAACCTTTCTTTAAAGTCGATTAAAAATTGTTAGTTTTGTACTTATCTAAGGTTTTATACACCCCGAAGAACTGTTGACTGTATAATTCTAATACATATTTGTATAGTGATTTCAATATTGAATGCAATTTAATTTGCCTGGCTCGCAAATTGTTTGTCTTGTCATCCCGTTCCATTTAATTTAAATTGGTTTACCCGCAAGATGTGATCGTTCAATTAAGTTGTGTAGGCAACGTTGGACCAACAATTATTTAAGAAAACCTAACGTGTACATCATCTTTATTGAAAATTCAAATTGCCAATAGACTAATTTTGTCTACTAAAGAAATATTAAAAGACTTGAATAGGTCTTTTTCGTTAATCACATATCTTTTGCATTTCTGGCGACTACTGCATGAGTTCTTGCCATCCGTATCATAGTTATCGTTGCCGACATTTTCAATATATGTATTGATATCTAAGAGTTTTTGTTAATATCGAGCATTACAATCTTAGTTTGTCTTTTATAAAGATAAGTAAAAAAAACTCTGATCGCTTATCAAGCAACTTATATTGTTAAGCTATTTATGGATTTAAACTACCATACTAAATCTCAAAATAAACAGTTTATAATCAATGACCATTTTGTAACAAACATATTCAATTTCAGATTTGTTTACTTTATAATTATGGTAACTCGATCAGTAAATATAATGAAATACACATTATAGATGATTAAAAAAGTTTCTAAAGGGATAAAATGTTCACTGATGAATGGACGCAAAAGCTTCGGAAGGTATTTAAAATTTAATCGCCAAGAGTGGCTGGGTTGTTTTTGCCCTCTGTCCTCCATTAGCCTGCGATAAAGCCACCATTACACAACGCTTCATCCATGCCAAGCACCATTAAAAGTTAATCCCTAAATTTACCAACACTCACAAAGGAACCAGTTAATGGTAAAGAAGCATAAAAAATGTGATAGACGTCTAAACAAAGGTTTTATTAACAATATAATTAAAATAACCGGCCAGAAAAAAACGAACTCGCTCACATAAATAATGAATTTAAAAGAACATTAATACATGGTAAAAAATAAATAAAATGCCTTGAAATATAGTAGTTTCAATTTTAAATACCGAACCTTTTTATGAATTCATTTATTGTTATCTAAAGTCTCAACTAGTTCCCGAGATAACGGGTTTTGACAAACAGACAGATAGTGACAAAAACAAAGTAGCAAAACAAAGGGTTACCTTTTAAGGGATAGAAACCTAAAAACAACCATATACTCCAATTATTTCTTTCTAAGAAATTGATTCATACTATTTGTGGGTTAATAATCACACGCTTAAAAAAAAGAAAAAAAAAATTATAATAGAATAGGAGACGAAAAAGCCCGTTTTATTTTTATTGCTCTTTTTCAAACATAACCTAAATTGTTTTTTTGAGAAAAGTGGTATTGCCAGTTTATAACATATGCGGTATTAGTGGTCTTTATTTAGGTATTGTAATTTAGAGGTAGAGATTGCAGAAAAAGACAAATATACACGTAATATTTCATTTGAAAAAGTTATTATAAGGAGTTGCAAAAGAATAATCAACTACAGAAATATATTATTTTTAGAAGGACTTCAGATCTATTTTTTCCTTGGCTCTGTAATTAAAGCTTGTTTTACGGTCCAATTACCAGACAATAGTGGCTGGGATCGAAAGGACCTCGTAAAGCCCTTGAAACTCGATAAAGATATCGTTATGGCAATAAACGGTGCTCCCACCTCACAGTTAATTACCGACGAAATACATTCTGGTTAATTTATAGCTATAATCAGTGTCTCTATAAATTGTTGATGTTCCGTATCTGTGACTCTTGTATTGACCGCATTATGTGTAAATATTATATGCAGTCCTTTTGAGAATATAAACTCTAGGAACTCAAGTTACTTAAGCAAAGGCCAGTCATAGTTGAACGACCAAAAATTTATTATCTCTGACTACTTCGTGTTCTCGTTAAGAAGTTGGGCCTGGCAACATCTGCAATCGCTAACATTCACAAATCTACGCTGGTCTCGGGTGGTCCATAAAGCCTGTGCTCAGCAATGGGGACATAAATAAGCTGTTTATGATGATCATAATAAAAGTAAAAGAGGAAACAGAAGTGACACATAATATAACAAAAATATTGAAAGCTCTTGCATGGAACTTAATAAAAAACAAAATACAACAATTAGATATTATTCAGTTTAAATCTACTATTAAAAAAACTTTATTATAAAAGCTTATTGTAAGGTATTCGATTATTTAACAGTTAAGAATTCTTGGACTTAAGATAGTCCAGAAACCGGATAAGTGATTTTTTCTAAACTCATTATGTCTCAAAATTATCTTGTTGTTAATTTGGCAATGACATGATTTTATGAACACCGTTACTTCCATTAGAGCTGGTAACAAATCATGAACGAGTCATGTACGAACGTCATGAACGAGTGGTGGGGAAATAAATGTTGGACGATTCAAAAGTACTTTTAAGAAGTCTATTTGAATAAAGATTATTTTGACTTTGACCTTGATTAGAAAGTATTGAAAGAGGAGTCGTAATTATAAATCTTCTTGGGAAGCATTATATTGGTTGCAAGTAAGTAAAATCGGAATTCGTTTCCTTACGTTTTTTACCATTTAAGATTGCTTAATTCAACATTTCTGATTGCGAGGAATTAGATCAGATCGTCGTAGTGTGCGATGCACTTGTAATGTCACTTTAACATTTTGATTTTTTTTTCGAAATTGTATTTACATATTTTTATTCTATATAAACCAATTAAGTTAGGAATTCGCAGGTCAACAAAAACAACTTACCTTAGAAATCGGTAACACTGCTTGTATATCGTCTTTCTCGATGTCCAATCTTGTATTGACACGGTGTTCATGAGGTGGTTCTTCAGTTGTGGAGGTGGTGGTAGGATTGCTAGACACCCGAGCAGACCAGCTCAGTCGCGCCGTGCCCCGACCGGTCTCTCCCTCAGATCCTTCGGTATCACCTTCACCTTCAGCTCCAACCTCTACCAGCCACGTTAAAACTTCTTCCCAGCCGGGGCCACCGGCACCTCCGATTTCTTCAATATCCCTATATAATCAATGGAACCCAGTTGTAGAATTATCTTTATTATTGGCTCCGTCAATTTTATTAATTGCTGCCTTTCATAGGGCAATCTGTCTACATCTTATTTAAGTGCATCCATTAACACGTTATAAATAATCGGTAAGTTATTATGTTAGTAACTTTTGATTTATGTACAGTCTAAAGCCCATCAGGTTCTACATAACTGTCAAGTTTCTTTGATATATTTTCTACAAATTAAATGTTAAATTTGTACAACAAACTTCATTTGTACGTAAGAATCATATTTGGCGTTAGTTTAAGAATGAAACATTTTATTGATATTTTTCTAGATTACATAAGTTCACTAAAGTGAAGTAATTATTCTATTTAATAAATTTTGCATTCACAATGCTATGCTGAAAAATATTCATAATTAAAAATACTTAAAAAATCCACTTTGTCCCTGGCTCTCTGAGATAGGACTCGAACTCATGACCTTACGCAACGCGGGTGACTGCTCTAACCATTGAGCTACCCAGAACGTAACAGGAGAGACGAATTTTTCAAGCGCTTGTTAATTTTAGCTACTTACAGTAGGATAACTTTTTTCTTAAAGAAAGTAAAATAAATTTTTGTAACTTCCTGAAGATCCTGTTTCATTAACAAACGCAAACGCCGAGTGGCTTAATAGCGCTAACACCATCCCAAGTAAACAAGGTCGTGAGGAAAATTCTAAACAAATCTCGAAAAGGTGACTTTCTTTCCTTTTATTAAAAAAATATATATTTTTATTTATATGTATAACTCAAGGAAAAAGTAAGCAGCATATTTGAGTAAATCGGAAATGTTATTTCGAAGCGATTTAGCTAGATTTTGGATTTATAGCTACATTAAATAGGGAATTTGTGGTATCTAGAACTTATTTCATTATATTTTATCTGTAACAGAATTGGGGACACAGGAAGCTAGACAACATTGAGTTAAATGCTAAATAAAAGCGTGAATAAAATAGATATAAAATTTCATTATTAAAAATATTTCTATAGTACGATGCTACAAAAATATATACTATTGCTACAACCATTTTAATTCTATCGAGTCCCTTATCTAGAGTATGAGATTCACATTTAAATATATAAGACAGACGTCTACAAAAAGGAATTAAACAGTTGCGTTGACTAACAGATAGAACATAATTGTTTATATGGTTCTACTGTATGTTATCTTGTGATCTCTGAACTTACGTGTCTAATCCATCATCGTCTTGTAAAGGCTGCTCCAATCGTGTTGCAGTGACAGTAGCAGCTCTCGGTTTCACTTCAGCTGTCACCGCCCATCTCGAATTAGCTGCGGTTACGCTTACTAACCGCAAGCCGGACTTTACCTTCATTCTGTTAAAAAATATAAATTGAATGGATGAATTAATTAATGAGTGCAGTTGACTTTTTTATTTTTTTGGAAGGCTTTTTATCCTTTTGTACATATCAACCTGATCATTCTTATTTGTTTATTAAAACCTAAACTAATTTTATGACGACATCACAGCTGGTTATAAATAGTTAACTACTTATAAGCTTAACCAGAATTAAATTTCAACTTGCTACTTTTAACTTATTTATATGTTTACACGTATTTAATCGCTTAAAATTAAGTAAAAAAATCTTAAGTGCCTACTACTTATCTACTTAATCATGCGTAAACCAGCCACAAGCATGTTTCAAAAAGGTTATCTTTAAAATGTTCTACATTGCAAGAGGATTTCATTTGATACTATTTCGTAGTCTCTTCGTTGCCCTCCGTTCGATTCGACCTTTGAACCAAAACTTAGCTGCACCAAATAATTTCTGATCACGTATTTTCGACATAATTCCCGTAGTAACTTGGCAAGAACACTCTATATTGTAGATTCTATATCTCAAAAGCTGAACTGAAGTGGTTATAAATTTCCATTTAGGCACATGCAGCATTATTCCTGCGCTCCCTCTTGGCCCGTAATTCAAAGTAGACAGACTTTGCGAAGTATGGACGCAGGTGGTTTAGAAAGGAGGACCGTTCTCTTTCCAAATTTCCAAAAACGTAAATGCTTAAAGGAAGATAAGTAAATCTTAGACAATCCACAAGTTACATAAAAAAAGTTTCATTTTGAAACTTAATTTCACCTTGATAAAATATTTTTATTGGATTATAAGCAACAAAAAGTTTGAATAGATAATATACTAATGCCTTTTATTACCTCAAATGAGATAAATTCTTCTTACAACTGATTTTTATGAAAGCATTTAATGCCGTGGACCATGTATCTTTACGATAATAATGGTAACGTAACATAATTTAATATTTCACGCATATCCTTATTCACGTGTAAATATCATTACCCCAGTGGGATACTTAATATTTCAAGCAGGAACGCGTAATTGAGTTTCTGTGGAGTAATTTTCAGTAACAAAGCGAAGCATAGTGGCAACTGTTTCTACCAGAAGGTAATGTAACAATAGGCAATAAATTTGAAACGTTATGTTGTTTCTAGAAATTTACTACATTGCAACCGCTCGTGTAGGTCGTGCTGCAAAATTTTGTCGCATTTTCAACGGTCTTGACAAATTTGAGAAGATTTTTAAAAGTAATGGAAGATTTAATGGGCCTTTAGCTGTTTTTTTTTCCTTTTGTAATGTTCTAAATAAATTGTTATATAGATGTTTTTCCTCTTGTCGCTTGACTAAATAATAAGAAATTAGTGGGAAAGAATCACAGGATAATCATTGTGACGCTTGTTTCTTTCTCTGTGAACTGGAATTGAAATTTATAATATTTAATTTTTATTAATTAATATTAATACCACTTATTCACAAAACAAACATACTGCAATATTATAACCGAAACCTATTTTCCTCTAGAAATGTTCATTTGCTAGTTTACGAAACTCTCATTTGGTTTCAAATGCAATAAATACTTAGGCTGTAAACTGACACTGATGTATAATTTCTCATTAAGTTAGGTTACCCAAAACTTAATAACACATAGGAACAGAACAGGTATAGGTATTTGTAACCTATACCTGTAAATAATGTAAATTTCCTATAACAGTGCCATGAAATTGCTGTTATTATAAATCCAAAATATTAAGAACTTCGTAGAGTTTAAAATAAGCTTTTCTCTTGCCTTGCCTTTTGTCGTTAAGCGGGGTCAGCTTGCTTGATTTAGAGGACCCACTTATTTCGCTGCAATATGTTGTCTTCTGTTGCACTTTCATGTCTTTATTTATGTTTTAGAATATAAAGTAGCATTATAAGCAATTACATTTATATAAATGTTTTGGAATGAAGTTAAAGTAAATTCATTAACAGAAAGAAACAACAAACTGTGAAGTTTTGCCGCGACCTTGCCGTCGCATCGAACAAATTATGACATTAATTTGCGGGTACTTATCCTATTGCAGAAAAAGTTTTAATTGCGCGAAGGGGACGACTGGCGAACGTTGTAGCCACATTGTGAAGCGCTCTAGAAACATCTCGAGTGCTCAGGCGGCCCGTTAAAACTTGCAAAGCGACTTCGATGGCCCATTATTTTTACTAAACGCCAATATTTTGCCGCTTTCCACAAAGGAATTGAAAGCTTTTGAAACTGACTTTTTAATAGCTAGTTTAAAATTGTTCGGTAATCGATACTAATGTTGATTGATATTAAATGTTATTTACTTGATCACTTTTTAGAGACAACTAGAGGTACAGTGAAACGGCATTAATATTATTTTGTTAATTTAAATGCTCTCTTAACATGAACTTTTAATTAAGTTGTATTCACAATTTCACCATCTTGAAGCTTTGAGAACTTTTAAGACGAATTATTTGATCTTAGTTTTTTTTATATTTTCTACTATGAAATTTTCCTAATTTATTTTTCTTAGTTTCATAATCTGATGTCCTAAGTTTCTTTGTAAATCTAACATACTATACCTAACATCATTAATCTTTACAGATTTAATATATAGCACATGCTGTTTTATTTTTTATTTTATATATAATAGTCAAAGGCCAAACTATTTAAAAGTATAAACATTCTAATAAATTTCAGTAGGTATACAACCTTTCGCGGCAACTACAATTTAATTGTACGATCAAAACGTTTGACTTCCAATTCAATGATAATTAATTATGTTAGATTATTGAAGCGGTAATATTGTATAATTTTATTTCGTAGTCATAAGAGTCGCCCATTTTATGAATTATGTTTGTGAAAAATGTTATCTAAAATTATTTGAGGCATTTTAGGTAGATACTATTATACCGCATGCAATTAGTGGTTCAGACGAAGTTGGAAGTTTGGCAATATATTACCTAAAGCATGAGAGATTCCAGTTTCCCGAGCTCATATCAATGGGAAAAGTAGCACGAAAGCGATGCGTTGGTAAAAGAAAAAAAAAGTGGTTACGAAACGTTCGAGAATAAACAAAGATAGAGTGAAATTTTCCAGTAGTAGAATAGTAGAGAGTCATGAGAAGGAGAAGGTAATAGAAAAAGTTTTTATTGTTATTCACTACATCCAGCCAGATATGATTATTGTCTATTTTCCTCCCATGACAATAATATTTTTTAATAAACTAATCAAATACAGTTCAAGTCCACGTTGATATATATAGATACTGTGATAGATAATGAAGTTTAATTATATATTGATTAAACGGTGTGAATACCATAGATTTGTAACGGCTTTATAATTAATTCACATGTGTTACAGACAATATATGACCTTATGCATTTATTAAGGTCTTATTCTGTAAATATTCGAAGTTGAAATCAACGTTGAGGATAGCTTTGTAACAGCATGGAGGTTATATCCAATTTTTTTTACCTTTGTCTTCGTCATAGTTTGGGGAATCGTTGGATAGGTCTTTCAAAAACATTGGGGATGTAAGAAGGAAGGTCGATTAAGTAAACCGTTAGTGACTTATTAAGTTTTTACGAGCTTATTTTCGTTAGAGTCAACTGTCCCCCTCCTACTAACTAAATTATCGCTCATAAGAATTCAAACGTTACGGCTGTAGTACCACATATATCGAAATTAAAAGGAAAGCTATCACACTTAAGTTCGCTATACGAATTTATGAGTAATAGTCGAGCAAAACTCGAAAATTTCAAACAACTCCATGGAAAGCAACAAACGTATATTTTTTTTACTCTTTTTCTAATGATAATGGTACGGAACCCTTCATGCGCGAGTCCATCTCGTATTTGGCCGGTTTTTTGGCATATACTTTTCTTACGCAGAAATATGTTTTACGAATGTTCAATTTATCTCTGAGGTTAAAAGGACAAAAAGGGAAGATTCATCAAATATATTTGGCTATTGAAAAACTTGATTGAGTCCTTGAATTAGCCGAAATTATATATTTTCTTTATTATTATTTTATATGGCATCTGTTACAAACAGCATAGCAAGCCACATTAAAAGTAGCCTTAATCATATATGACATCATGAGATCTTATAACTATCAACATACGATTGCATAAAAAACTGGTCAGAACACACGACTTGGATCAGATATATTGAATTTCAATTACAGATTGCCGTTTGAGAAGTGTTCAAAGATCGTATTCGATTAAAGTCTAACTGTCATGGTGTTGCTAATAGAAAGTTATAAAAAACTATCGTTCTATATCGTTATTTTAAACGGTTGGCTCTATTAAATTTTAAATAAAACACACCTGACTTTTTGACGTGGCTTTCACTAGGCAATATTCATTTCTATTTCGGTGGTAAAAACGATTTTTATTAAATTTAGAAAACAATATTAATTCTAAATAGGTATGTTGTCAAATTCCATTAAAAACATACAGTTTCTCTCGATTATTTTCTGGGTAAACCAATTTTTCTCTTTCACTACACTTTTGAACAACATTCGGAAAATTTACATAAAAATTTATAATACCAGTTTACCCATTCCAAGAATGGCCTGAAAAACATATTAGCTTTATTTTATAGAGAAAATGCAACATAATCGATGTTACTTATAATTTACAGATAACAAGATAGAATTGATATTTTCTGTAACAATTTGAACGACTATTTTGTTATTTAAAAATTTAATTCATATAGTTAAAAACCGTAACATATTTTTTTATAATATAAAAAAACTGGCAGACATTCATCGTCTCGTTATTCCTTATTTCATTTTCTTAAAAAGCAGATTCTAATTTTATCCACCTGCAATACGGTTGGTAACGGTTGTTTTCCTCCGAAATAAGTGAATGACGGGAGGGGAATGTCTACAAACACAATCAATAAACGAAAGTATGCTGAGCTTATATTTTTATCTTTCACATTCTAAATATGGTTCTCCGAAATCGAATTGGCTGTCAAGTTTTATAATCAATTTTGTTTCTACTGATTAAGTCACCAGTTTATTGAAGCTAAGCAAAGAGAAGAGAGTGGAGTAGAAGAGTGGTATCAATAAAAAATTCCTTTATTTACAAAGCTGTGCGATTGAGACAGGTTCGTCTTATGAGAATTGATTCAAGTGAGTAGGCCTTGTCGTATTTGGCATATAGAGCAGTCCGGGCAATAGAGTTATCTTATTTAAACGTAAAATTTATTACTAACCTGATAACAACATGTCCAATGGTGTGGCTTGTGTCACGTCGAACAACGAAAGGCAGATGAAGTCTGGAGTGTGGATAAAGGGGTGCCCGGGGAAGTAGCAGGGCTGAGTCCCCCGCTCGTGCCTCACGATACCCGGCACGAGCTCCAGCAAGAGTCACCGATCCCAGTGGCCACGCTGGCTGCACAGACACCTTTCCACAAGCACCATCACCAGAATCGCCATTACTAGCTTCAGCAGCGCTGTAAGCCAATTTCACTGTCCTTGGAGGACGTTTTCCTTTTCCATCTGCGGGCCACCATGCAGCCGGAATGGTTAGTTCTGATAAACAGGCGCCTTCTTCGCCTTCAGGCCCACAAGTAGCCGTTAGAGTTCGTGAACCAAGGCTAGCGTGTAGTGTTATACAAACACGTCTTGGACGAGCAGCGGCTCTTCTAGCACCACCTTCTCCACCGGTATGGAATAAAACACGCAGCACGGGTGCATCACGAGGTAGCTCTCGAAACACTAAATGCGCTGACACGTCCATTCTGTGCGCTGTAGCTTCTTGTAGCTCTAGAAGTGTGGCATTTCTCCGCGGGGGTTCTAGAGGATCTGGTACTGCGTATCGTGCTGGTACAGTTTGTTTAGTGGAAAATGGACCGTATGTGGCTCTAACTGACGCTGGCGCCGATCCTTGTAATACAGTGAATCGGTCCAAAGAAAGTAGTGCACCAGGCAAAGCTGTACCCATCGGTTCTGGAGGTGGGCCTGCGCCGTTCCATCTTGCAGTGTGTTTCAAGAAAAATCCGCTATCTTTATTCTCGAAATGCACTTCAACAGCAAGCACCGTCCCTGGAAAGAACAAATCCATTTAATATTGTAATAAAACTAGCTTCATCAGTGTAGGAATGCAGGACATGTGTAAAATGTTAAATAAGTGTTTTATTTCGGTTCTTGAGGAGAGATAAAAGGGCGACGTTATAAGACGTTCTGGCAGCAATCCAATTGCATTATTTCGTGTTCTGCAGTATAATGTCAAATTCACCTATTAAAATATGTCATTTGTCATTTTAGCGTATAATAATTAATATTATGAATATTCTAAAGGGCACAGATTAATAAGATCTTCTATATATTTTTTTTTTCAACAATGCATTTTGTCATTATCAATAAAAAACCTCTAGTATATCCTCCATTCTTATCAATCAACGCAAATCAAATTGGCTATTGTATAAGGAGAATCTGGCACTTCGAAAACTACCGCATTGCCATCGATTTATTCTTGCGACTTACACTTTTTGAGCACAATCTCATTTGACCGAACAAGTCCAACCAAAATAAACAAACAAAAACGATAACATATCTTTTATGTAAGTTACAACCTACAACATGTTGAAGCAACAACTAACAACAAATTATATACAAACGTGTTTCAGTGAAACCATCTCAAACTAGAAGCATTCTAATTATTTCGTGTTCCACTTACTTCTCTACAAAAATTCAACATCCTTATTTTTATCTTCAAATTGAAAGATAACCATATAAATTTAAACACCCCCAAAAAGCAAACAATTCCACTAAATCGTTAATATTACTCTATTCACCTTAAAACAAAATACAAGTTAATCGTTTTCCATCCCCAAGCATATTTATTGTGACAGCCCTTACACGTCACACTTGTTTCACATAGCGACATGATCTAGATAAGACATGTTTGAACTAGATTTGTGTCACGTTTCATTTCCGTGACTTTTCTAAGTCATTGAGTATCCGACATTGTATTGTATTGTTGTCCGTAGTACGATAATCAATATGATCTTGTGTTAATAAGAAATATCAATTAAGTAATCATTATCACGATCACCATTAGCCTATTAATGTACCCGCTGTTGGACATAGGACTCTCCAATAGATAGGTCCAGTGTGTTGGGTGATGTCAACAACAGATGCCGGAACTAAAGGCTGAACGTGTACGAAGCACAAAGGAGCTAAAGACTAGATTTTTTTGTCACATATCCTATGGTCAGTTTTATTCAAAGTTGCTCAATCTCCACATTGCAAACCAAACGTTCTAACTACTCCGCTATCGAGACTAAAATTAAATACGAATGAGAAAATAGAGAGTTTAAAAATTCTTAGTTATAAAATGAAGTAATTCCCGCACTCGCATCGCACTGTCGGCAAACACAGCTGTTTTTTCGTAATATTTATGCGCATTAAAAAAATGCAAGGAAAAAACATGCCAACTGATTTTTTACTACATAAAATTGCAGAAAAATTTGGTATATTTTTAAACCTGTTGACTCGATAAACGAGATACATGTAGGTAGTCAAAATGACAAACTTATTCCTACCGTGATACGTTAGAACTGCTGGAAAATGCCGTACTATATTGATCGATTACAGACACTACTAGTTTCAGTAACTCTTTCGGTACTCTATTAGTTTCGGTACTAAAACTAGTGAAGTTTTATTTCCTAGTTCACTCAATAACCTGTCTTAGATAAATAGGTAACTTTCTACAAAACGAATAAACTAGGAAATTTATGAAGTAAGGTTTCGTGACTTAATTTTGGACACGATGGATTGACTTCTCAAGCTCTCTGTAACAAGCAAATATTATATTAGATAAATATATATATATTATATTTTTCTGAAACCTTAGAATAGAGAAGGACTACATATAATTGAACTAATTCGTTAAGTGTGAAAAATATGCTATTTATTTATTATATTATTGTTACCTGGAAGAAATTGCATTTTAGCAATAAGGCCGCCAATGGTACTGTCTGTTACATTATTATGTGTTGTTCATTTACTTATGGTGTATACAATAAAGAGTCTTCATTCATATCATCATGTTATTTGAAAAGAGTGGTACAAATTACAAGCAACGATAATATTAATGAAATAAAGTTGATCTAAGTACCTAATATAGGCAAAAGTTTGTAGCTTTGTGTATGTTTGAAAATATGAAACTCGACATATGGATTATTCTAAGCCTGGATACAGAGTATTTTATATACTACTGAATGGTTTGCTAGGGATAAAGAACCACTTAGGCGATGAGTATAAATACTTTAATAGTATGAGTAGACAAATTCAAATATTTATTAGGGTTGCTGATATATCATAAAAAATAAGCTATTTTAAAGAAATATAGTTATTTAACTCTAACCCAATTCTGAAACTGATTTGTCAGTTTCACTGTGTAACTTAACAAATGCATTTTATATGTTCCTACTACATTAGGTAAACGAGAGACTATTACTGTATTTGGAAGAAAATTGCACTACCCTCCCAACACGCGCGGAATAACTAGGCGATGAAAGGATAATAAAATGCTTTAGCGCGTGACGCCGTTGGAACAAAAGAAAATTCACACCCTTCTCAGGTTCAGGGGATATTTCCATTAGGTACACTGCTATCATCCGACACGTAAGTACTTTAGCATATTAACGATTTGAAAGCTTGTGTTTTTATCTGTTGCATTAATATTACATTATCTACGAATGTACCGTTGAATTTTGAATTCAGTAGTAGTAGAATTACAGGAGTACAAATCAAAGTCCTAAGCCATACTGCCAGTGTGCATTTCAAATGTTATAATTACATCTATTTAAAGAAATTTGTTGCTATTTTTTAATCCTATGCGTTAAGTTACGCGTCAAAGACTGGTATAATAAAATAGGTCTATAAATAAAAAAAAACTTTTAAACGGTTGGAAATCGTGGTAGATTACAGCAGCCAGGGGTAAATAAATAAGTCAAATGTATTTTTAAATGCAATTTCAACGCCATCTATGACAGTACTGTACAAACTTTGCATATGATTGAAAAATTTTCACTGACGACTGCAGCACCCTTAAGTGCTTTATGTATGCTAACGACCTAATGGTTGTGCTTTGTGCTGATTCTGTAAAGCGCCATCTAACAATAGATTTGTATAAACACTGCATCTGATGACTTATACTGTTCATATATTCGTCGCGGCTTGCTTACAATACAGTTGGTCGAATGGATCATAGCTAACTGATCCACCACATAGATCGGTGTTCAAACCTTCTGAGCGTTGCAAGTTGTTTTCATTTAAAAATTTTATTTCTTCTTATTTGTTATTGAAAAATAAACATAACAATGGAAAATATAACTTTTAGAAGACCGTTAATGAGGGCAAAATCCGATCAAGATTTATCAACGCATAATTATGTAGCAAACTCAACAATGAACTCATCTATATTGGATGCTACTATGAAAAGTTTACCGATGTTAGATCCGGATTCATCACAAATATTTGAATTGAAACGAGAAATTGAAGACTTACAAAATGAACTAAATATAGCAAATAAAGAGATAGAAAACCTGAATTCTGAAAATACTAATTTAAAGAAAATTATAGAAGATAAAGATCGGCAGATATTTCTATTCACAAATCTAACAAAAAACCCTACTTTAGCAAATAAATCAAAAATAACAAATACTCCTCAATGTAGGAGTGTCCCAAAATTTCCAAAACATCTTGAGTTTGGACGTTTGACTCCTCTGAACCAGGCACTTCATACACCAAAGATAAAACCTAGTTCGCGATTTTTACCATTGAGCGAATGTCAACGTAGAGCGTATGATAAAATTGTGTCTCCCTCTGTAATAAGGCTACAAAGAATTGATTTAACGACAAAGGAAAAGCTTTCAATGGACGGAAACGACACATGTGAGGACTTCTTAGACGCATCGCAGCATTCGAGAGCAGCTGCATCAGAATTTCCTGGTTCGCAACTACACCATAAGCAGCGAATTTTGATAGTCGGTGATGAACAACTGCGATCGCTCTCTATACAACTGAAAAAGTCGACTTTAGCGGATGAGGATCGACAGCAATACGACATCTTGGGAATTATTAAACCACAGGCTACGTGTGCGCAGGTTTTGAATGGCTGTAGAAAGATGATAAGTTCGCTAAGTTTTAGAGACATTCTTATCTTGGGAGTGGGATCACATGATAGAAATCCATATAAGTTGCTAGCTGATCTTTGTTTTCTTAGCAGAATCTGTAAAGCTAAAATATTTATTGTGGGTGTTAGACATAATTCTTATTTGAATACAGTAATGTTAAATGAGCAAATCAAACAATTGGCCGTTAGCTGTGGTAATTGTCATTTTTTAAAAGTAAATCGATATATAGTGCATAAATATTATATTAAGGAACTAATTCATCAAATTTATGTTGAACTTGAGTTTATTAAGTGCCGTTGTTTGTTTGATACCTCAATGAAAACAAAATATGACGGATGCTATAGGGGTAATAATAATAGTGTGATTGGTGCTGTTTTGGGTTCGACACTCGATAATGAATTAAATTTCGAAAATTCAATAATTCCCACGTGTGAAACTGAGACTGATAGTAACACGAAAACTCTTGAAAACTACCCTGAAAATTTTTTTCGAGTTGAACAAACAAATACATAGTCTGACTCTATTTCATCAAAATATTGCCAGTGCTTTAAGCAAAAGAGACTTACTTTTAATAAGCCTACAAGATCTATCTGCTGAAATTGGTTCTGTAGATATAATATGTCTCACGGAGACATTCATTAAGCGCGGCTCAGAAGCAAATCTACAGTTGGCAAATTATAGACTAGTGTCATCCTACTGTAGAGAAAATCAGCGTAGGGGTGAATCTGCTATTTTTGTAAAAAATAGCATTAACTGTTGTGAGCCATTAACCGACTTATTTAAGCCAATTCCCCTTCACTTTGAACTTTGCGCTGTAAGGTTAGTTTTATTTAATGTTATTCTTGTATGCATCTACAGGACCCCTGATTCCGATGTTAAAATATTTTTTGATTCTTTGTATAAAACACTATCCAAACTA